TTTCCATTCGCTTTGTTCTTCAGAAGGTTCTTGCTCAGAGGCATACATTTCTTCGTCACTGTCATCAATTCTTGCTGATCCTAGGATGGATTGGTTCGGTCTGCTACCTGAGGGTTGTGTCTTTTCCCTTTGTGGTTCCTTATTTCCTGCCGCTTTATCTGGGGTTGCTTGGAAAGTATTGGACGTTTCTCCGAGTTCTTCTTCTACCATCTGGCTCCATCTGCCTTCTGCACTCGCCTGTGTAGGCTTTGAGACTGCTTTCTTAGGGTGTTCCTGTTGTTGTTCTTTTGCTTTGGAGGGCAGTGTTGGTGCTCGGGTTGGTGTTTCCATTTCTGTTTTGTCTTGTTTCTTGGTAGGTTTCTGTGCTGGGTATGGTATTACTTCTCTGTTCTTTGTACTGTTTCTCCCCTTGGACATGTCTATTGTATTGTAGTTTGGCCTGATGGCTTGGTTGGAGCTTCTCAGACTCCTGCTTGCACTCATTTTTCCACTTCGCTTTGGTTTCCTTTTTTGGTAACTGTATGCGTTTGGGAAAGAGTGTGAGTTTTTGAGTACTCCATCGTATTTTAACAGAAGATTTTAAATTACTACTATATATAAATGATTTGATAATTTCATCTCGCAATGCTGCTCCTGCACAATGTGCCATATGAAAAAAACTAATAATTTGTTGACATTTTTATAATATTTTTTTTGACCATTCTAAAGATATAATATCTTTTGTAACAAGATTAATATAATGTGCAATGCATCTAATTGCAATTATATGAGTATATTTACTTGTTACTTGTCATTTAGCAGCTAATAATGCTGCTTTGGCATCTGATACAATAGCAATAAATTTTTCTTATCAATATTTTCGATAATTTTAATCATTTGTTCTTCGTTAAAGATTGCAATATGTCGATTACCAGAAAAATCATTTATTGAATGTATATATTGACGACGTGCAGGAGTAATTATAATAAAAGCATATATGCTTTGTCCAAGTGGATTTGTCCAGGAATCAATACCTTATAAAAATATTATAATAAAATAGATAAATATTTATTATTTATATTAAAAAATTAATTAGTATATACCTAATATCAAATTTTGAGACAACAATACACTCTTTCCCATACGCATACAATTACCATATTTGGAAATTAGGCAAGGAAAGAGAAAATGAGTTCGCAAAGAACACTGAGAGGTTCCAGTACCTCTTCCAGGCCCAACTACAACATCAGTAACCTTACTAAAGGCAAGGGTGGCTGTAAAAGCAAAGAAACAACCCCATACACAGTACAAAAACCAGCAAAAAAACAACAACAGAAGAACGAAAAGACATTAACACTCAAAAATAGTACAACAAAGAAAGATACCCCGGAAACAACTATACCAATCCCAATCCCTCAAGAACCAAAAGAGATAACTTACGGGCAAAAGAACCAAGAACTATGAAGTGACGAGGTGGAAAGGGTAGTGGCAGAAACCTCCACACAAAAGGACCGAACACAACAAGAAGCAGGCAAATTCATCAGAATCGATGACTCAGATGCTGAAATGGAAGAAATGGAAGCAGACAACAACAACTGGAGAACCAAGACATATGAAGAGCAATGGACAACACATAGCAAAGGCAAAGGCAAACAACCAATGCATCAGTGGAACAAACCCAGACCACACTCTCCTTTCGACAGAAGCAGCAGATATGGTAGACAAAGAAGCAAAGTAGGAATCAATGCCAATACACTCCCAGGCAAAAATACAAGCCAAAAAATCCAGTACCTAACCAAAGCACTTGAGTGTTCCGAAGGACTTCTTGCCATCCGCAGCGAAGGCAAAAATGACCAAGAAAAGATCATAGCCATTTTTGGTGATTATCAAACCGCAGAACATGTATATAGTATCAAATTACCCAATACGGAAGACAAGCATCTACAGCACATGCCAATGATTGATCTAAACACGAAAAAGGAAAACAGTATCCGAGTATGGGACATCCCCCTGGATGCCAAATATATCGAAGTACAACAAATATTCACCAAGTACGGACAAATCACAGGTATCGCAATAAGCACACAACAGATGTGGCAAACAGCAACCATTACTTTTGAAGACAAAACAAGCAAAAATCAGATCATCAACATGTGGAGCGTCCCATTCAAGGCAGACATGGTTCAGGTCTTCGATGCACAATGGGACCTCTTACAGATGAAACAAAGAGGACAAATCGCAGCTAAACTTACAAACCTACATCCAAACACAACAGCATTTGACCTACGCACCATATTACAACTAACAAAGGCAAAAACATGTTACATTCCACGAAGAGGAACGTATCAAAGGAAAAGATTCGCAGTCATCAGTTTTGACACAATGGAGGATCTACAGAATGCAATTAAGGAAGAATACACAATTGGTGAAATATATCTAAAATGGACACACATAGATACCAAATTATGCGCCATATGTGACAATGATACATATCTAGCCGCCACATATCTCATCAAAGAAAGAAGAAACCAATGGAATGCATATAACTAAGAACAAGCACTAAAGTTCAGAAAACTCTATGAGAAATACAAGCCAGCAAAAACAAATGACATCAGGAAACATACCTCAATGCAACAACAAAGAAGAGGAGCCAAACCTGGGTCATATGCCGCAGCAGCACGTGCACCTCAACAACCACAAAACGAAAAGGCAAACCCATCTGATCTACAAGAAGTATTACACATATTAAGACAGCTGCAAGAAGACATATCAGAAATCAAACAGCAAATTGTAGAAATTGATAAAAGAATTACTAACCTAGAATACTACGATGAGAATGGTGTAGGAGCAATGGAAGAAACAGAGTCCACAGAAGACCAGAACACAGAGAATGGTGAACAACAAACCACACATGAAAACAGTTCCACCAACAGAAGTGCAATTCAAGACATATAAACACAACAGAAACAAATACATGTAACCATTCAAAACACCAACCAAACCATAAACAATCTCATGAATACAATCCACAACCTCATCCCGGGAGACACAAACAACACCACCAACAATTATTAATGGAAAACAATCAAGCTAATAGCATAAATGCACAAGAGATCACCTCTAATCTCTCAAATTTCTATAACTCAATTGACAGACACCCAGACAATGAAACACAAACATCGGAAGAAACACAAGAACAAACAATAAAGGACAATCCAGACAAGCAAACAGAACACATGACATCACAGCAACCTCAAATACATCAAACCCAACCTTGGACAAACAATCATAACGATCCCAACCAATATACATCAGGACCTCAATCATGGAAAACATGGAAGATTGCAACACACAATGTTCGTGGATTCAACGACATTACCAAGAGAGAAATCTGACTAGCATACTGTGAAGAAGAGAAGATAGACATAGGTATTCTCACAGAAACACAAATCACAACAGACAAATCAAAGTACTGGAAGATGCATGGATACCATACCACCTGGTGCAATGATAAAAAGGGGTGGCATCATGATTATGATCAAAGAGGATATTGCGAACCACATAGAAAACATACAAACGTATCCAGACAGAGGCATATGCATAGACTTAAATTATAAAGGAAACAAACACATCAGTATAATTGGAGTATACATGCCAAGCAAAGGAAATCCAGACTACCGCCCTGCTGTAAAATGGGTACAAGATAAAATATGGACAAGACATAACAAAAACTGGCACATAATCACTGCTGGTGACTTCAATGCCTTACACAACCCCAGCATCGATAAAAGACCACCAGGAAACAATCAAACACCAACATCACACACAATCCAAACACTCACCCAGCTCAACCATATAGACACCTTTAGAGAAGTATGGCCAAGCAGAACATGCTTCACCTGGACCAACATGCGCACAACACAGACTCGAATCGATTACATATGGATATCACCAAACGAAACCTGGAATCTTATCAATGCAAACATAGAGTCATCAAATATGATAACCAACAGCGACCATGACATTGCCACATGTGAGATTGAGATCACGGAAATAACAACTGAGGCATTTATATACATATTTTTTAATATATGATTTGCGTACATGATAGTGGTATACTTTGGTAAAGATAATAACTATAGCAAAGATGATAGCTTCATCAGAATAGTCAACTATACTTACTTTGGTAGAGATGAATACTTTGGCGAAGATAGCAAAGTGAAAATAGTAAATGAAATTAAAGAATATTTCAGAATAGACAAAGTTGGCTAAGTAGGCAAAGTAGGCGAAAGTACTATAGTAGATTAATAACACAGAAATTCTAGAACAAGAAGGGAATATTTCAGGGGCTAAATGCTAGTGGATTGTCACAAGGGTAAGATAAAATGTTGGGCGAAGATCAAGTGTAACAGTAGTTTTTTATATATGTTGGTTCCGTTTCTCTCACATAGCATGCAATGTGTATTTGTTTCGACTTGTTGACAATTGAGGCATTGGTTGTTAGTATACGTATTTGCTGCTCTTTTGTGAAGTTTGTCCTTGATGGGTAATTCCAGGTTCCAGAGTCTTGCTCTGAATGATTTAATTATATGATCGTTTTGGTTGGTTGTACCTGTTGTGAGTTTGGATGGTTGCCTATTGATGAGGGATTCTTCCCATGTTATGCTGTTCAATGTGGAGAGGTCTGTTGTATTGAGGTTGCAGTTCAAGCTTCTCCAGTTGAGGATGTGCTTTATTCTAATTAGATTTTTGATTGAGGTTGTGATCGTATTGTCTAGGGTGTGTCCATTCTATTCCTATATCCATTGTGATATATTGTTTCTGATGGGTGTGCAGCTGATTTCTGATAATTTTCTTGTGATGGTGGCTTCTTTTGCTAGGAGGTCTGCTTTATCGTTATGTTTGTCGTTACTGTGTGCTTTGATCTTTTTCCAGGAAATATCTAGTTTTTGGTTTTCTATAATGTGAATTATTAAGTTGATGATAATGTTGTTTCTCAAGATTCTTAAGTTGGCTAGGTTAGATTATGCCTTGTTAATTGCTCCTAGAGCTGCTTGACTGTTACTGCAGATGGTTATTTTGCTGTGAAAAGAATGGTTGTAAGAAAGTTATAGAATAATGATATAAGGAAACCTGCTAAAATCATACGAATTATAGGTTTTCCAAAGAGCACAACATATGATCATGTAAATCAACTCAAAAAAAGTGGCATCCTTGTTCCACTTCCCATT